TCAAGAGAAACCAAGTAGACCAACTTCACATGAATCTTAACTCCACATTTCCAGGAATTCAGTTCACATTTGAAACAGAGGTTGACGGACAGCTCCCATTTCTAGATGTCCTCGTATGCCGAAAAACTGATGGATCCCTTCAGACTTCAGTTTATCGCAAAGAAGCATACTCCGAGGTCATCCTACACTTTGAGAGTAACCACCCCATCACTCACAAGAGGAGTACTGTCTACAGCCTACTAAACCGAGCTAAAACACACTGCTCTGATGAAGAAAGTTATCAAGCAGAAGTGAAATACCTTTTCAAATTATTTTCCCACAACGGCTACCCGCGCCACTTTGTGCATCATTGCATGAAACATGAGTTTAAACAGAAAGGTATTTCGAAAACAGCGGCCACCCAAGCACCAAAAACTTTCACCTGGCGGACCCTCCCATACATCAAAAATGTATCTGAACTTGTCGAAAGACAACTGAAAAAGAATCAGATACACGTAGCACACCAACCTACAACCACCTTGCGTACACAGCTTGTACACCCTAAGGACAGTGTTGGCTATCTTGATAGGAAAGGTGTTGTCTACAAGATACCATGTTCCAGTTGTGATGCCGTGTATTATGGCCAAACTGGGAAATCCGCCTCTACCCGCTTACATGAGCATCAGTTAGCGGTGAGGAGACGAGATCATTTATCCCAGGTGGCTATGCACACACTGGACACTGGACACAAATTTGCATGGGAGAACACCCGCATTGTTGGCGCCTGCCCAATAAGGAAAGGCCGCGAATTCCTGGAAGCAATGCACTCAGATGAGGCATGCATCAATCGGCATATCGATTTAGATGCCACATACAAATTTCTCAAGGACAAATGGAAGCGAGCGCAGCCAATGCCGAAGGGATGACAAAATCGTTGACGCGCATTGGCGCAGACTTCGGCCAACCATAGAATCACTTGTTTGACACGGTTATATAGTTAACTGTTTTTGTACATTGCCCAAAAGTCTGACGACGAGCTGGGGATCCAGACGCGAAAATTTACTCATTAAAGTTTATTCCCTTCCTAAAAAATCTTACTTATTTTCAATATATATATATATATATATATATATATATATAAACAACATCGAAAGTTGAAAAACGGCCAATGAAGACTTGTAATGGGGTAACAGAGTTAAATGCTTTCAGATATCAGAGGTAAACACTAGTCTTGTCTTCATGATCACCGGAGGTCGCTTCGTTGGAAGCGGACGATTAGCTCGTGTACGAGGTTAAGGAGACAAGCTGAGAACAGAGTAGAAAGTAATACAACAAAGGTTAGCGGGCCACAGACGAGTTGTCCGACGATGGAGTAGGACAGTTTAGTAGCCACGTCAACCCAGTGAGCTCACCGGCTACTTTTCCAAATGTTCCGATGCGGTGCGTACATTATATAGCAAACTTTACGCTCGGCAAAACAGTAGCCGACATAGTACTCTCAGGACACAGATTTTGTTTTCCTAGTCAAAGACTAAACAGAGTTATAACAGAAGCTCAATTTGAAAGCTGAGTCAGACACATGACTTACTGCTTGCAACGCCGGAGGCATTGAAGCACCTCAAGTCCAGGCTCGTGAACTGATCTTACCGGTTTCGTGAAAAAAACCACTTAAAATGGGGAATACCAGGAAAGTAGATCTGGAAAGGTTCGAAGAATTACGCCAAAACAAGTAAATACTCGCCACCAAATCCGACAGACGTTCTGGTTTCGTTCCAGTGAATAGTGTTTATGCTTCTTGAATTTAATCAATTCTGGCTGATGAGACTAAATTCAGGAGAGAGTGACAAAATAAAAAGTAAAACCGGGCCATAGGATTCCAACTCACAACATGTCTTCGAAAACTGACAGACCAACTTTATCTGGGTGAAAAAGAATTCGATTCTTAAGCATCGCAAGACCATATGGTTTACTAAGGGTTCACAGCCCCGGACCTCCTTTGGCGCCGATATTACACATTCACATTTCCTCTGATCACACAATTGCAAAATGGCAGGCAGAAACGCCTAGGCCGACAGGACGCAGAGTAGCACCATGCGGCCCATAGAACACATTCGTATTCATCGATTCCGTAAGAATACCTATTTCCAGGGAGAAAACTTGCTATCACTGGATGTTTCGTTTTTGATTACTGGTATTCCTTTCACGGGGATCGTAGAGTATTTAGGTTGTGAGATTGTTAGGCAAGATTTCCCTTTTGGCGCATCGATCGTAGTCCCATTGCCGGCACCATCCTCGCCCATGAGGTGTCTATAACGAGGCTGTGACGGAGCTGTGGCGGGGCAAATGTCCGATGTCCCCTCGTCGAAAAAAAATGCACAGGGGAACGCCACATCTCCGTCATTTATGCCCCGCCTCCTTTGCGATACGGATTTCCGTATCAGACCGCATTGCGGCATTTCGAAGCCGCAACCTTCAGCTAGTAACCCCACCGTAGGAGACCTACCGCGTACAGACAGTTCAACCGTCGATTCCGATGTTATTCACCATGTGATACACAGCAAGGTGCAACAGGCACGGTGACTTGCTCGTGGATTAGTTTGTAGTGCTAGTGGGCTTACGCAGCATCTACCGCACTCTCTCATCCTCCCCTCCCCTAGGTCCGGTGTCAGGACAGAGTCGGGAAAACCGTGGGCGGGGAGGGCGCAGGTGAGTGGCACGGCCGAGCCCGCACATTGGCTCTGCACTTCACACCCCCTGGTCCACCACAAACACTCGGCCAGGATTTTTCGACAACAACAACAACAAAAACGTCCCAACGGGAGTCAGGAGGACGAGGAGGATGACTGAGCAGTCATGTCCACCACCATTGTGCCTAGCGGGAGCGTAAGCGAATCTGCCTGCAGGGAACCAGGTATCAGCGAACTACCAGCGCATACCAGGTTGCGAGGGTCATGATTGGCCGATACTGACATAGCACACGCGTTCAGCCCTTTTGAACTACCGCGTACCAAACCCCCACGATAGAACATTGACACTCAAATTAATGGGTATATACACTTTACCAAAATAAGAGTTTAAGGAAAAAATATGTACATTCAAAACTTTTTTTCCGTCATGGTTTGGCGAAGTGCATGTTAAGCATGACTGCCGTCATCCATGGCCGCCCCTGCATGAAAATAAAACCATCAGTTAGAAACGTCCATGTTTACTTAGCATTGACAAAAAAAGATAGGTGGAGGCTGCAAATACCTCTTTTAGATTTGAGCAATATTGTTAACTTTACAAGCCATATTTGTAAATGCAGATCCATGGCGTGATACATGAAGGGCCGTTTAACGGTATTAAAAAATCTCACAATTAGAATCTTTTTTAAAACCAAATTATACTCTTCTTTTGAGTATGAAATTGAAAAATGACGTGATTTTCAACCGAATGAATATTTTGATGCATGTTTTCCATGAAATATAATTGAATTTTCAAGGACATCGAAAATCAATGAAAGATTTGCATGCCACATAAGTATTCATTTTTTGCAGTGTAGATCTTGCATGCAGCCGAAAATAAGTTCTTTCGAAAGCCGACACCCTGTGGTAACTGGATCATTATAGATTTATGATGCATGATGATTAGTTTTACAACAATATTTAATTTATCTTTTCGAAACGAGAATGCATTACGAAATGTTGGTTGGCATTTCATGAGTTAGCACATTTACTGTACCCGTAAAAGTTTACTGCTTAACTGGTTTGACTTCCAATATGTATTTAGGACTTCTGTATCTACACTCGAATAGCCGCTTTTTCTAGACCAGTGAATCCCTTCTTTAGGTATTCTTTTGGCCAGAAATTACTTACAAATCAGTTAAAACTAGCTTCTAGGGTCTCTAATGCAGTCATATAAATGACAGGCAACTGAAAATATATTTTATTTAAGAACTCATACGATGTCATTCGTCTGGAGAAAAGTGATGCAGTTGACGTTTAGGTCCAAATAGTTTCTTTAAATTTCCAGAGTACCACAGGTCATAAAGTTTCCTTTGTAAGGTTGCAAATGATCAAGGCACTAAATGATTCTTTGTTTCTCTATTACTTTATTCGGCGACAAAGGCAAACCTCTAGAGCGAGAAGCTCGATTTTATGCTTAAAAATGTGAGAAAATTTCTTCTCCGATAACTTTATCACGAGATAGGCGAAAAAACGTGTTCATAAACGAAAGTGCCGACAATACAAAAAACCATTACTTTACTATAAGGTCAATGGAATAGCGATGGGACCACCCTTAGACCCCTTCCTCCGGGTGTATCCATTGGATAACTGGATAAAAACCAACTCTATTCCGTTATAAAGCATCTTGATTCCGGGACTGGATATTTTGGCAACAGTTTTGTGCTAATGGATGGAATTTTTTTTAAAATGAATTACACTCATCCAGCGTTGACCTTCAATTTGGAGAAAAAAGAGAAAGCTCTCCTTCTTCTAAACATCGCACTAAGTGAATCATCTTAAAGAACGATTTGGATAGGGATATTTCTAAAGAAAACGACCATCGAAAATCAATGTAAAAAACGCATACTAATTGACTAGTACTTTTTTTACCGAGTGCGATTATTATAGGAGATCGGATTGATGTGAACTCTAAAGGCAACATCCCGGTGAGTCCGATAAATTAAAGGGGTGTGCTGAATGATAATCAGTATTACAACTTCATCTAAGTAATCCTTCCCAGTCGAAAACGCATTTCAGAATTTTGCTCACTCACTGTGGATTCCAAAAAGATGACGTAAAAACACTTCCTTTTATCACGCCAGTGCTTTGAACACTTGTCTAGCCTTCCTGGCGTTACGATTACTAACGGATAGTTGCAACCCGGCGATATCGGCAGATTAGCGTTTATTCAGGAAAAAATGTGTTTACATGAAGCTTGCGACGGAAACCAATGAGATGGCAACTTGAGCTTTCAAGCGACCCACTTTTCCAAAATAAATACAACGCCTGTGTGGAGAGGATCACGCCATGCGGAGAATGCACATGACGATGGTTCTTCATTTTCTCATGGTCGCGTTAACCTTCTTTGAATCAGGGTAAGCTACTAGTATTTCATTCACAAAAACACTTTTATTGAGTAATTCTTCCAGCAGCAATGAGACTAAAGGCTTGCATCTTGTGATGAGGAATACCTCAGGAACAGGCATCTGATATATTCGTCATCCCCATCTTACCGTGTGTTTTAAAGCCGAAGAGATAGACAACAAAACACGACTGTTAAATGAAACCAGTTTGATGCACCTCCACATCCTACTAATGCTACACCATTTTTGTGCGTAAACTTGCCTCGCCATCCAGAACATTGCGCATTTTACTAATGGCGTACACATCAGACATCCGACCTCGACCCAATTTGACTCCCTTTTTAACTTTAAACCTCCCTCCCTCAAAAAGTTTTGAAGAAACTGTACCGTAATACGATATGCCAATGAATATTCCAAAAACCATTGCGATAGCAATCATTCGACAAAATGCATGACATTTTTATTCAGATTTCAAAGCTCTCGCTCCTAATGTGATTTTAGGCCGTTTTTAATTAGGAGAAATCATCAGATGTCCCCACATTTTCGGCAGTTATGTTTCTTTCCGCCAACAAATTCTAAGTAATTGGTAAATGGTACACAAATAAAGGACTGTGTTAAAGATATCTTTGAGGATACAGAACAATTAAATGTTGGTGTATGTGCGCTTAAAACAAGGAGATGTTCTTTAAAGACTGCCCAGCGTCCTCGTATTTGGGAAACTCCTCTTAGCCCAACATCATCACTAAAAATAAATTATTGTTTATGACACTTGACATAATTTTAAATTTATCCTTGATGGCAGAGAAATTTTCGATGCTTGCTCCCCTTATTCAAATGCTATCTACGTCTTTTTACACAGTACTTACTGTTTAATAGAATAGGTTTTATATGGAGTAAACACAATAAACGTCATTTGCACTCATGCGCGGTTCACCGCAGCTGCAATTTATATCACATTGAATTTTTAACTAGAACATGAGTCAATTTTAGGTTCGGTCAAGATCCTTGCACTTGGAGCAAACGCATTATCCCGAAGGAGGCAGTTGGGAACTACACTATAGAAGTTCCGATACATTACAGTTATCGGGTGAGTTAACAAATTACAGGTGCTATTGAAACGAAGCGCGCTTTTTGATTAGCCTGTCATATAATGTTACAAATGCTTATAACAGCAATGCGTTCTCTACATCTTTTAGCGTGGATATATAAATGAGGATCCATTTGGAACATATTTCTGGACAAAGGGCTGGTGTACGCTCAAAGAGGGCTATTTTCGATGTTCTTACGGAAACCGTATGTTGTTGATCCCTGTCTAATCATTCAGTCAACCATTTGCCTCTGACGTAAATGAGCTGTGGATCATTCCTTTTCCGTCACATTACGAACATAGAACTCGCCATCGAGAACAAGATATATATATATACATAGAAAAAAAAACATGTTTCATATGTAGTTTTACTGCCTCAAGCGTAGCAGTAAGGTGTCTTGTATGCGTATACTAAGCTACAATAAATTAGAATATATACTAGTGGCTCAGTTGTATGATACTTTTGATAGAATAATGACTTAGTATACACGGTCTTTTTTAAGGCAATACAATACACACGACCATCCTTACACTTCCAAAAGTTGAAACTATCTCCTACGTTATGCTGAAGGACAGATACCCAATCACACTTCACAGGCCGGAAGACAAAACCGTCCGTACGTTTATTTGTTCCATATCCTGCTAGAATTTTCAGGTTCATATTTCTCGTTTTGCAACCTAGTTAAAACAAAAGACTATTACGCATGTTCCTTAAATTCCAATTTTGAAAATGCGCTTTTCCTCAGCTGGATTTTATGTGAAGGAGGGCGACGTTCTGGACGTCTGCTCGAACTTCACCACATACACTTTGCGCTGGTACTTCAATGGCAATGAAAATGACTTGAGGAATGTAAGTTATGAACGGGTGCCGTATATGCATTTAAGTCATGACAGAACTATTGCATTTCACTTAATATTGATCTCCCCGCAACAGGTCAGTTGTTTTCATAATGGCGAAGAATTTTGCAGTGGACTGAGACCTGCAAAAAAGGGAGCAGAGGATAAGTGTGGTAAATGCCCTACAATTATTTTCAATTGATCCAAAAATGCTTGGCATTCATTAATCCATTTTTGTCAAAAGCTGAGTCTTCTGTCACTTTGATCTGTTATGCTCATATGAATGCGGTGGTATTTTCTGACATTATTTTAGCTTTTACCGAAACGAGTGGCAGAATACGGATAGGGTACACGTTTTTCAAACCATCAACACGCTTCGGATACTACTACTGTTACCTGGACAAGGGAATGACCAAAGCCCTGACTTATATCGTTGACTGGAAAAGTTAGTTTATAAGTGATTTCATGAACTGTTAATTACTCTTAGTTATTGGAGCTTCGCAGTAAGTTACTATACCCTACACGTATGACGACCTCAGGAAGTCGACATTCTTTGGGGATTGCAATCAAAAGTGGGTCTGAATGTTTACGAATTTAGTGTGAATTTAATATTCCGTAGTCGGCCAGACGATTGCTATTTTAGCAGTCGAATTCGGAGTGAAAGATGGTTAAAGCGTCTGAAGCTGCGGCAAGTGTTTCAGTCTTCAACTGTCGCCGTTTACAGGCGCGAGTGCGTTTTCCCATGCAGGAATTTAAGAAGAAATTAACATATCGAATAAACTCGCTGATCTATCTCCCCCGAAACATCTGCGATTTAGCTTAACGATGACTGTTTCCATGGTGACTAAATAATTACCTCTTTGCACAATTTGTTAGTTTTACTATACAGGATGCCTTATGTGAACTAACTATAGATGGCACAAAAACGAGGGACAATTCATCTACCGTGACAAAGCCGAGTGGGCGTCAGGATATTCCAAATCCTTCTACTTCCAGCGCATCAATAATACTGGGTAAGTCAGCACCAGTCTGCATACTTGAACATTGCCATCCACCATGGGCATCTGAGTAGGTTTATAAGATAGGAAAAATGTAGCAAATATCAATTCTATGCAATACTTTTTAATTTTTGAGATCTCTCCCATTACAGTGCAAGAAAGTGAAAGAGAAAGACACTGTCATGAGTTCAGTAAATCCTTTTTGCGAAATATGCAGAAACCAATGGAGGCATATATATATATATTTCAAAAATCTAACCATTCTCATTGTTTACATTATCTTTAGGTGAGATCTCATTGGTGTGGCTATGGTCGCTTCTTGCAAGCCAAATTTGAGCCAAGACAAGGATGGGACAACTGCATACAGCGGGATTCTCCTCACCCCGTCACGGAAAATCACAACACTTCATAATGAAACAAAATAAACCCTTTTTCAAACAGAAAATATTCTTGCTAAAAGCTGACCAATCATTCATTTATTTTTCGATTGGAATAATTAGGAAATCGCAACTTTGCAAACGAAGTATTGCACCTAAAAAATTAAATGAGGAGACCATACATGTTACTAGCCATCTACTCGTCACACATAACAGGAATTGCTCGCACTATCTCCAAAAATCCAAACTCTCCGAAACACCTTTACAGAGACGACTTTATCCTAAAAAAGGCACGATTACCGGTCTAGATAGGCATTTGAAATTACTCACTTAGCGGCGGCCAGCATATTGACGTCTTGCCTTCTAACTAACTTCCACTGATGGAAATTCGTAGCGTCGGTCTATGCTTGCCTGCAGGCCTCTCGTTGGATACGAGGATCTAGAATATACCTCATTATACAAACTCACCAGAAGTACTTTCAAAAAAAATCGCACGTCAATTTTTGTAAAGTTTATCGACTTCTACCCTGAATCTCCAATGGAAAGTCAAGTAAAACGCTCTTATGGAATTTAGTGAGCTTGTCTGCTCCCTCTTATAGGTCGTGCAGAAATGTACATGCAGTATCTGAGAGGAGGGTGAAATATGAAATGAATTTGTTGAAAGCTTGTATGAAGAATCATTGTTGTGACGAATCCAACTTTTTGGTCCACAATGCGCGTCAGAGTTCTAATTAATTTACTTGTTCGCATGACTATAATAAAGTGCTCAGTCCACAAATTCCCCTGCAATCCATATCCAATGGTCACGTGTTCGGAATCGCAATTTGCTTAATATCACAAAGAGGAAATATGTATAATGACTATTGAATGGAACTTAGGCAGTCGGAGGGGTTAACTAGTAGTTCCTTGAATATTTCGAAACCAATTGCACGTCTCAGTGGAAAAACCCATGGCAAGTCTTATTCGAAGGATGCAGTTGGAAGAATGCCTCATTTCTTCACCAAACAAAGCCATAAACGCGAGGAAAAATGAACACATCCTTTGCGACTCGGGCAATTATTATTTTCGATGAACGCAATGCTGATAGACCGAAAACATTCAAAAAATACCCCATATCGCATTTGCCATCACTGGTCGACGCCGGCGGTCGCAATCCCGAGCAAAGCAGTCTTCCGATAGTACAGCTGCCTATCTTCAAGTAGAAATGATAGTCGGATGAATCTGTTCCACGATTATTAAATGCATTAGGTCAAAGTGTACTAGTTCGTGTCTCACATCGTGTAGATCAGATATATTGTCACTGAAGGTCCTGAACAGTTGGACGGTCTCACCTTCTGGGCAGACATACAAATTGGTGTATCAATTTAACATGAAAACCAGCTGGAAATGAAAATACCATCCATGAATTAGTGCTAGTTGTCCGTTTTTCGCCCTTGCAAACATCAGACCGTGTACATGAAAGGAACAGCCTCGTCAATGTGCGTAATATTTAACCATATGGCGACCTCCTTCGTCTGCTTTGTGAATCGTAATTGGAAATTTGTCCTTTTTCGACGTCTTTTGTCTTTTTGACGTCAGAAAACGTCAAGCGTGCTGGCTTAATGAAAAGGAGAACAGAGAGGAATCTGCAAAATGCAATCTGCTACTGCTGATGGATTATTTGTCGGTTTTAACTGGTAAAAGTGAAGTCACATAAAAGAACAAAGGTTTAATCACTTCCACCCGACGAAACGGTGACTCACAACGAACACAGATAATACGCTCACCAAGCATCCCATGAGGGGCCAAGGCAACGAAGGAGAAAAATCGATCAGCATAAGGTCGGCCAACGCAAAATGCCACTTGAAATTTCTGGTCGATTAAGAACATTGTAAACTTTGACAATGGGCAGCCGACCAATCTCTTCGAAACCTTTCACCTAAATAAACTCGTTCCAGTAAGCCCATCTTTTCTGCAAATCATCAAGCCGGATCTCTCAACTTTGCCAATCTAAACTAAACTCTATCGCCTTGTAAGACTAATCGCGATAGTTCTCTTTGATCCTCAACAATGCACTCATTTCTTGATAGCGACATTGATTGGCTGGCATCAAAATTTTAAATATTAGAGGCAGAAGTTCATTGTCTGTAAATGGGATCACTCAGATCACAAATCGACCTTCCCAACGGGCAATTTTGACCGGCGTTCCTGTCTATTGTGTATTCATGTGACAGTAGGAGTGAGTCCAGTCTGCAACTCCTATGTGCACTCCAAATGGGAGAATCAAACGACCGTTCTGCATGGGACAAAATTAATGATTAAAAAAAATTCGCAAATCGAGGACAGCAATTTCCGAAGAAGAAAACTGGGAAAATTACAAAGTACTATTAGAAGCCCCAAAGATGGACCCTGCAAAAACTATCAAAATTGACGGATCGATTGGGAAGTAGTCAGGGGACTAAATTCGGAAAGGATAGGCCTGGGTACATTCATCCATGTTTTGGCTCGTGAAGGTCTAATTTTCACCTTTTGAATGAACACAGTAAAAAAGGCCTTCCGTCTTCTGATGGCGGCTGAAACGTGCGCCTTCTTTGACGTTAAAGGCAGCTTGGAAGATGTATTGGACGGGAGTTTAATGTACTGTGATACGATCACGAAAGTACTCTTCTTAATAAAAGCTATCAGGCAAAATGTGAAACTATCACAGCGAGTCCTATGCGGTAACCCAAAATGTTGTCTATGAATAGTACAAATTGGTCGGATGTGGTTATTTAGCCCATCTGAGGTAAACAAACGGCAGCCGCCTGTAATACGGGATCTGTAGCAAAGAGAAGCTTTTACAGGTGGGGCCTGGAAACGCACAGGCGCACAGGTGAAACAATTGTATGCGAAAAGAAAGCTATTGGGAGTGTGCGGTTAAACTTTGATTGATTGAAATACAATTGTCCTAACCCCTAACTCTAACGCCTAACAGACGACACTATGAGCTCTATGAAACTAATAGAAGCGAAGCGACGAGTCCCAGGAAGCAGACTTGAAGAAGGAGACACGATCGGATTCCTGCTCGAATCCATCATCAGAGACAAAAGCAGATAATGGTGGTTCATGCATTTGCGGCGGCAGTATTTATAGGATTCAGTAGCCATTCTACTGCATACCTATGAATATTCACGGCTCATTCCTTTCATCAGGACTCGTTCCACGTGGAGTGATGGTCGACATTCGCGTCGTTAATTGCTGCAATTTCATCACCTGCGTTGGTTGTTGGTGTGATGATTACTCGACCATCTGACGCGCTGACCCGGGTGTTGGGAAGAGTATTCACCCGTGCGCTCCCCGCGTGGCCAATTAATCTGCCTAGACGAAGTCTCAACACGGAGTATTGAACGGGAAGACCATTGCACTTGTTAATAGACTGAGGGTCAGTAAACCATGATTCAAGCAGCTCGCGGTTCACGAGGTTGTCAACTTCTGCGAGAATTTCGGCCTCGTCAAACTTGAATGTGTGGCCGGAACCCGTCGAATGAGCCGCAACTTGAGAGCTGGCGTCATTTTTCCGCACCGCTGCAGCGTGTTCGGCCATTCGCGTTCGGAGTTGTCTTCCGGTTTCTCTAACTTAGTTGCTTTGACCGCAGTTGCACAAGGTCCGATAAACGACTCCAGATGTTTCTTATCGTGGCAGCGGGTCTTTTGGTCTCATCACCTGACGCCTCATGGTTGCCTCCGGTCTGTGTGCGACCCCAACCCCAAGTGGTGAGAGAAGGCGGCCGACAGCTACCAAAACGTTCTTGACATACGGAAGCGCTCCCCAAAATTTGGTGTCCGTGCAATTAAGCCTTTTATCCCTTTTGCGTATGCACCGGTTGACGAAGTTGCACGGGTAGCCATTGGTCTTTAATAGCCGTCTGAGTTATTTTAGTCCGGCAATCTTGTCTTTCAACTCACTGCAGTGCATTTTGAAACGCCAATAAAACGTCCTAACACAACTGCATTTGTGGCTGATTTGGTGGTTGCTGTTGAAGTTCAGTACTTGCACCGTATTTTTCGCTTTCCTGAACACTGGTCTTTAGTCCACCACAATCTTTGCGGCATACGAGGATATCCCGGAAGGCCAGCCGGCTGTTCTCTTCCTACTACATCGTAAACTGTATGTCCGGAAAGACCGCATTCATGTATTCCTTAAATTTTAGCAGTTAATCTCGGTCGATAACAATTATCCACGCAACTTCGCCAACCGGTTAATACGCAAAAAGGGGGCGAAAGGCCTAACTGCACGGACACCAAATTTTGGCGAGAGCTTCCGTATGTGAAGAACGTTTCGGAAACTGTCGGCCGCCTTCTCGCACCCTGCGTTGGTCAACGCATCTACCGCGTCGCTCGTCTTAGGGGCAAGCTTTCCACACACTGACTAAATGTCTAACGTTGTTATTCGCTATGCTAGCACAAATAAGAGATAGGAAGTGTCGTCTTGTTGCGACGGTGAATCAGACAACATTTTCATACTGCTGAATGCCCTATCAGGACTTACGAATATTTTATTTTTATTGGGCCTAAAGGATTCATCGAATTTCGGTAAGGAATGTGTACTTTGGGACCCCGTGTGTAACAAGCCGGTCTTGCGAGAGTAGAATTAGGATGAACAAAGTAGCCGCGAGCATTCAGAATGAAGATGACTTGATATTGAAAGTTGTTAAAATTTCTTGGCATATAAAATTAAAACGCTTTTTCCTGTCACTACAGCATTATGATAAAGATATGAACTGCTGACTGGGAAATCGAACTAACAGCCTAGTCAGGTTGGAAGTGGCGGATCCCGATGGATCAGTCGCTGAAGTGTTCGAAGGAATGTCGGGAATGTTTGCCCTTAGCAACAACAGAAGCGACTGCAATCAGATTACTAAAGTTGATCTTGTAGGCGCAGACTAACCTCATACAGACTTCGCGCTTACCGCAGTCAAATTTCGACCAAGCACATGTCAA